GAGTTACATTCACTTTTCCAAAAGGATTTTTAAAGTATTTTAGGAAAATAAATAATAATTAAGATAATTTGTCCTGAGTCACAACCGATTGATTCTACATTCCATTTTTGAAGAACAGAGATCAGATTTAAGATGAGAAAAATGCATTAATTCCACAAGAAACACTATTCTCAGACTTAAGTTGAACAGTTTTGCTTCATAAATGATACACCTTCATTGATGTACAGTAGACAGACTTGTAGAAATACTAAGTATACCTGCTAATCACATAAATTGTTGAAATTGATGAGAAAAGATGTTCTCGTACACAACTCAAATATGTGAAACACACAAAAGTGTAAATTCCAAAAATTTGAAAACTGTAACACAAGAACACTGTACCATCCAATTTTCTTAAAGCTGACATCGGTTATCGTATTACTTAGCTTTGCAATGTTTGATAGCAGCTAACTTCATATTTCACTGTCATCAGCAAGATGTATGGCTGCCATGTGACATCAATCTGCATAAGCATAATTTTAACATTTGCTGTTTCAAGCCCTAGGCTCTCTTGCACACACGTATAGTACATTCTTTAATGGAAAACGATGAGCAATTTTCATGAAAAGAATTTTTATGAAATGAAAATGCCTGCTTCAAATTTGAGACATTGGTGCCTTCAATTGCTCTTCCAGGCCACCCTTTGTGAGTTTATATTTAAGAGCCCAAGTAATTAGATTCCTGTCTCTGAATCTCCAGTTAAGAAATTATGGTAAGGCAACATGTTGTTTATAAATTGAATGATGCAAGTCCATATGCACTGAATTATTATTGTTGCTACTTCTGACATTGCATAAATATCCTTTAATCCTAAAGTTATCTTTTTAGTTAAGCGTTTTAAAACATTGTTCTATTAACAGATCAGTAAGAAAATGAGGGTTTTGAAAAATGTTACAGACAAGCTTCCATTTCCTCAAGCTATTTCTAATTAAAAATAAGTTTTTGAACTTCAAAGTTAGAAAAATTAAATCAACCTTGCTAGAAAACTAAGACACGGTATTAAAATAATTTTTCCAGCAGTTAAAAATATTAGTCTGAAGAGGTTTGCATATGCTGAAAATGATGCTTATGTAGGTCTACCTCTTCCAGGAGACCCAAAGCTGCCAGCGAGGATGTTGTCATGTCATTTAAAACCAGAACCATTAGCACAGTCTGGCACACCTAGATATGCCAATGTGGTATTTTTTTTTTTTTACAATGTGGTATTTTTTAGAAGCATGGACAAATATGTTCAGAATCCAAAAGTTAAAAAACACAAATAACACGTCATTGTTAGCAATGGGTTAAGTGATATGTACTCTAAAGGGGGTTTGGACAATAATCAAATAAATCCTATAGGGAAGTCCTTGCTACAGGCCTAAAGTCAAGACAGGAGTCAGAAAATCAATAATCCAGCGGAGAGAAAACTGAAATAGGTTCATTAATTATGTACCACTAACCTCAGGGAGACTAGAATTACTTTATGCATTCATTCTCCAATGGACTTCTACACATGCATTCACTACCTAGTTCCAAAAGTGATAGCCTCATGAGGACCACATTTTGTGTTATTCTTAGTGTGAAACATGAAAAACCGTAAAATGATTTCCAAGCAATTAATTTCTTGTAGCAAGTTTCTTCAACTCACAATTCCTGACATTTAACTGTTCATTATGTAATTCAGGAGCCCACATCCTGGATAATTTTTATTTAAGCCACAGATTTATATATGTGTATATAATATGCATGTACGTTTATTATGCAAAAAATACATCACAGAAAAACTAGAAGACAAACAAGAATGAAGCTACTTGGAAACTCACTCCTTAAAGATAATCCTTTAAAAAGACCTTTACAAATATTCAGGTCTCTGATGCAAATGTTTGTTCTCCCTACTATTCTATAATTTTTTCTTTCCTTCTACAGACCAATATAGCATAAATCTTCCTTGTCAATAAAACATGTTTTTATAATAGCTTCTTGCTTTTCCATTTTATGAAGCATCATTTATTAACTCAGTTTTCCATTATTATTCATTTAAGTATCCAAGCTGTTAATAGTAAGCAACTTAACCACCTCATAGAAACAAACATCTTCATGAACTCATCCAATCATTTACCCAGAAATCATTTTCAAGGTCCCTACTCAACTGTTCAGAATCACCAGAACGTTTACCTTTTATCTTACGATACACACACAAATGGTAATACTCAAAGTACGGGGAAACAAAATCAGCCAGGTCCTATGTTAAAAGAAAATGCTGTAATTTTTCTAGATTTATGAAAACAATTTTTGGGGAAATTTTCATTCCCGAAAAAAAATGTAGATTCTTTATTTACGTTATCCCATATTCATTTACAAAATTCTGACACAAGAACACCCAGTGAATAGGACGGTAGCAATGACTAACTGTTACAACTTAACAAAACACTGTTAGGATCATGGCACTTCTGGGGTGCCGATGGTGAAGCTCTCGGAACCAGCAGAAAGGCCTGGAGATCCACTTCTGAAATGCCCGCCTTCCCATGAGTGGAGTGCAGGGCTGCACTGCAACACACAGGGTGGCCAGAAGTAGAAAGAAGTCAACTTGATAGCAGCTTAGGGGGAGGATAAAATCATATCTACCTTGGGTATTACTGTACCCTTCTTTTAAGATTTGAAGCTCAAAAAAGCTACCAGTCGCCCATTATACTGAGGCTGGAATTAGAATTTAGGTTTATAAGCCCATCCTTTTAATGTCAGAACAGATGAGTGATTGAATTACAGATTAACAAGCAGGTGAGTATCTGACATTAAATTCAGACATCCAGTTGAGTGCAAAGCTGTATTCTTCTTTCCCATTTACTCACCCCTGAAGCACTGATGAAGGAATGTTACTTTTAAGATATTCCACTTTTAATAATACTTTGGAAAACACACTCCACAGGAAAATAGCTTAAAAGGTAGGTTGCTTCTAAGAATAAGCATCTACTCTGACATCAAAATGAGTACTAATATTTTATGTGGATTGTTTTTACAAGTCGTAAGATAACTTTTAGAACAGACATGTTGATGTCAATTTAGATTCAACTGTTTAAAAATAAAAACAGTTATTATTCTTTTATTGAATATACTTAGGCGCAATAACCCAAATTTCAGTAACCTCATAATAAAAAAAGAGGAGCATTATTTGAATCTATTTTCATGGTTGGCACACATGGAAATGCAAAACAAATGTAATAGCATCTTATGAATTGCATGTCTTAGCTTCACAGGAAATGCGAGGGTGACAAATAAAATTGAATTTTAAAATGTCACTCTACATACCATAATTACAAAAAAGCAGATTTACATAAACTTTGTTTCATTATAATGTATTCCCCAAAATTATAAATATTTTACATTCAACCCTACTCTAAATATAAACTATATTTTCATGTTCCAGTTCAGCTAAGAAGAAATAGAAATGTGTATGATGAGTTTGACATTACCTAAATTTGACATTTCATATTTAGAACACAGTAAATTTGAAAGGGGCAAGCCTACAGAAGTCATATTACTGACTTAATAAAATGAAATCAGTAAGATGTACTTAGAAAACTGGAATGCTCCCTTTAAAAGCAACTTGTAAAAAATTATAAATATTCCCAATTCTTTCATTTCAAAAGATTGTCATCAAGGTAAAATCTTTAGGGTAGATATGTAATACATCCATTGTTTTCTTTTAAAAGGTGCTTTTGTATCAGAACTCAGGGTTAACAAACCAAAACCACTTTTGTTCAACCTTTGACACCTCAAATAAACATCTTATTTTTCATCAGTGGAAAACTAACAGAAAAGTTCTTAAAATTCCTTAGTTTAACATATTTTCCTTCTAAAATCTGTAAAAAGAACAAAGTTACGTTTTAGGTTTACTTTCTATTTTACTTATGAACACAATTTCAACTATAAAATCCAGTTCATCTCTCTGTATATCAGAGAAAGCAGCATGTTATAAATCATTTGTACCACAAGTCTCCTAGTCAGGCTACTTTGGAATAAAGCAGGCTATTCAAAACAAGAGGGAATTTGACAGGATAACGGACTATGCTGAATAACTGGTTACATGTAATCTTGCATAGCTTTTTTTTTTTTTTCAATAAATGTACCCAGATAATCAAGATAAGATGATAATTTAATACAGAGCGAAACTGTGAAAGACAAGTCAGGGCACTGGAGGGAAAAAGGTTGAAACAGCACATGCTATATAGCATGTTCTCGTGAAACAGTGTATCCTTTTCTCTTTGGAAGAGAAAAAGTCACGAGCTACACTCTCAATTTTGGCTTTCTCCCTAAATTAAAACAAACTCACTGCCATTAAGTAGATTCTGACTCAGATCAATCCTACAGGGGAGAGTAGAATGGCCCCCATGGGTTTTTTTTAGAGACTTTAACTCTTTCAGGGAGTTGAAAGCCTCATTTTTCTCCCATGGAGCAGCTGGTGGTGTCGAATGGCTGTACCCCAAAGTGTGACCTACTAGGGCACCAGGGCTTTCTTGGGAGACAATAATGGTCTGTGCCAAAAGATCTATTACCTTAAGTAAAAGTGTAGGCAGGAAAGCTCTCTTTAACATATACAACTGTACATTGATAAAATGTATTCTCTAGTTTGGGATAGGGACTCTGCAATTCTAAATCCTTAATTTACCTTAAAGGAATCTAAGCATGGATGAACGTAATGTATGTATGGACTGAATCACTGAATTGGTTATTTTCTTCTATTTTAAAAGGACACAGACTTTACTGAAAAATCTCTAACTTTAGCTCTGAAGATATGGGCTCAAGGTCTGTTGATGCTTATTCTAAAAATTCTGCTGGTAGAACCTCATTTCAACAAATTATATAAAGTTCTTCCAAAATTAACTTTTTCAAACTACTGAGGAATATATGCCTCCCATTTAATGTTCATTTCAGCAGCATTATCTGAGAAACACATGAAAACCACTCAAACATCAAACTGCTGATCTGATAGAATGATTTATTTCCCATTACAGGAGAGTCATGAGTGCCTTGTTCTGAGGTATGTTTTGAGCTATGAAGGATTTCTACTAGCTCCACACTCGAAGGTTTCTCTTTAGGTGCTAACATTTTATGGCTGGGCAGTCTCTGCCGGTACGAGATTCCCTGTTGTATCCAACTGCATACATTTACATGTACAAGCCGACACAGGGCACTCTGCGTGGTCCCTGAAAAAATAAGTAACAGTAAGAAGGCCACATTAGACATACACACACACAAACGCACAATTTGGGAAAACACATGAATTAAAGTCCAGAGACAAAAAGCATTGTTATTAATAACTACCAAACTAAAACGAGCTTTGCTTTCTAAATATACATTAACAATATATTTCACGTGCAACTAAGGTGACCAGGTGATTGGGATGTGTTCAGTTAAAGGAAAGGCTGACTTGAGAGTCTGGGTATGAAATTGGTAGAGGTAAGGAACACTGAGTCACTGGGATGGCTCACAATAAAGGTTACTGTATAGACTTGTGTATAAGCTCAGTTTTTCAGCACATTTTTAACGCCATTTTGGTGGTAAAATTAGGTGCCTGGGCTGATATTCAGGTTGGCTTAGACTCGAGTATATATAGTAAATATGATCTTGAGACTCTTCATTGCATAGATGCTGCCTAACTAGAGTACAACTGATGTAGTAGTCGTATATGTGCTCTATCATTTCTTTTCTATTTCAACTTCACGACAGATTTTAAACTTTCGATCAGCTGTAAAAAAAAGAAACATCTACTTCTGAAATAAAGCTAAATCACACAAACATTTAACTCATATAAAATAGTTAAACCATTTCTTAGATAACTATCAATTATAGAGTATACGTTTACACATATCTATTGAAGGAAATATTGACACCGCTTTTGTAACCTCCAGTGACAGTAAAAAAGAAATCCATCCTTTGGCTACAAGTGATTACATAACCAAGGACTATTTAAAAGGCCATCTGACTTCTCCCCTAAGACTCCAAGCCCAATAAGGAGAAGGCGGTGTGGATTACCTGAACCAGCTAAGCATGTGACCAGCATGCCCACCATGCCTGCAGTTGTGACACCATGTAAACCAGTTGTTAAACTGAGCGAGTTTTTTGTCCTTGCTCAAGTCCACTTTTTCATCTGATTTGGATCCTCCTGTGGGGAACAAATTTTATTCAATGTTTACTAAAAGATATTTCTAAAACCATGTCTCAAATATGAATTATTCACCATCTAGAAATAGCAAACCTGATGCTAGTATCTAGTTTGGACTGAATTTTAAATAACCAATAAAAATAGAAATTATCAAAGTCCACTAAGAAATAATATGAATTATAAAATTTAGGTAAACAGAATCATTTTCTTCTTGTAAAGAAATTTTCCTACGAAAAACCCTCCCCTAGAGAAGATACCAGAGCCATTTCCAGGTGAATCAATTCAACACAGACAAGTAATTGTTATCTCTACAAATCCTTTCTAATACTGGGTTTTCTAATACCCTTCATGGAGGTGGTATAACTTAGCTAACAAAACCCAACAAAAAAAATAGGAGAAAAGAAAATTATAAGTCAATCACCTTCCTGATCTCAGGTAAAAAATAATCTTAATTGAAACATTACGCAGAATCTTACAAGGTCATAAACATAACAATTCTACTTGATACATTACAGACACTACTGTACAGCTAAAAGATGGCATGTAAAAATGTTCATAGAAGCACTGTCATTTTAGCAGTGTCTGAAAACCAAAATGTCTATCATTAATAGACAGTTAGAGCTGTACTAGTCATTAATAGAAGATTAACTACAATAATAAACCTATATCTACATTCATCATGATTAAGAAAATAAGACAATGCTGGGGTGAAAAGGCAAGTCTAAAACTATATTATATATGAGTCTTTGAAACAGAATTAAGAACAGAGGCAACACTAAACATATAGTGATGATGCCATACAGGGAAGCAAGAGATTAATATTTAATAGTGTAATTCTGAGTGCTCAAAAAATTCATTTTATTAATTCTGATTACCTCACATATTTTATTAATTAAGCAATGGTGTATTTATTAAAATTTATTCACTGATGTTGTTAGGTACCATGGAGTCCGCTGCAACTTCAAGCAACCTGATGTACAACAGAATGAAACCCTTCCTGACCCTGTGCATCCTAATAATTGTTGCTATGATTGGCACCCTGGTGACAGCCACTGTGTCAGTCCATCTCTTTGAGGGTCTTCCTCTTTTGTGCTGATCTTCTGCTTTACCATGCATGTTGTGCTTCTCTCCTGGCAACATAGCCAAAGTATGTGAAACAAGGTTTCAACCTCCTTTCCTCTAAGGATCATCTCATCCTACTACACTTCTTCCAAGACAGATTAGTTTGTTCTTCCAACAGTCTACAATACTGTCAATATCTTTCACTAACACCATAATTCAAATGCATCAATTCTTCTGCAATCTTCTTTATTGTTCAACTTTCACATGCACGAGGTGATCCAAAACTTGAGGCAAATGAAATTACCATGGCATGAGTCTGGCACACCTTAGTCCTCAAAGTGAGACCTCTGCTCTCTCACTTTTCAGAGATCTTGTGCAGATTTACCCAGTGCAAATCATTTGTTCCTTGATTGCTCCTTCCCTGAATAAAATGAAATCCCTAACTACTTTAATCTTTTCTCCATTTATCATAATTTTGTCTATTGGTCCAGCTGCAGAGATTTTTGTTTTCCTTACATTAAGTTGCAATGGGTATAGCCTTTGAATTTCATCAGTAAATGCTTTGAGTCCTCTTCACCTTCAGCAAGAAGGGTATGTCATCTGCCTATCATTGCATTCACTAACCCTGGGTTCATAATTTCACCTTGGATATTTTTGGTTATACATGATACAGAGACAGGCTTCCAAATATGCAAAAATGATTCGATCTGTTTTTGCTAATAATATGAAAGTAAAAAAGTGAGTAGAAGGTTTAAGATTTAAGATGGTTTTGGAAATAGAGGTGATTAGTTGCATAAAATTATAACTGTAATGTCACTGAATTATACATTTAAAATTTATTAAAATGGCAAATTTTGTTATGGGACCATACTAAAAATTTTAAAAGCAACACACACACACTCACACACATGTAAATTTAAGATATAAAACATGCATTCTTCCTGAAGGATCCACCAAAAACACAACAATAAAAGCCCAATCAAACGCACTACTGTTAAGTTAATTCTGACTCATATGAGGGTAAAAATAAACTACATTAAATTTCTTCAGGATTTTATCTAGACACTATTTTGTCTCTGCGGAAAACCCTTGTTAGAAGAGGCTAAACCTTAGGTTTTTCTGATGACCCAAATCCTTAGGTTTTTCTGATGACCCAAATCCTGCTGCCATTGAGTTGATTCTGATTGATTGGGCCCTGCAGGGCAGAGTTAAAATGCTCCATAGAGACTGTAAATCATTACAGGAGCAGATAGCCTCATTTTTCTCCTACAGAGAAGCTGATGGGTTTGAACCACTTACCTGGCAATATCACTCTAATACTTAAATAACTCTGCACTGGGGTTCCTTTTGTCAGATGAAACTGAACATGTTAGTCTCCTTATCACCGAATGAAAAGGCTTTCTTTTAAAGCTCAAAAGACTTTAAAAATAAAAATATTTAGAGTGACTTATGAAGACTACAGGAGCCTTTAGAAAAACTATAGCTTCATTTATGCCCTAATTAATAATAATAAGGTACCTTGGTGATGCAATGGTTATGCACGTGTTCTCCAAAAGGCTGGTGGTTGGATTCCACCAGCCAGGCTTGGGAGAAAGATGTGGCACTGTTTCTGTAAAGATTTATTGCCTTGGGATCCCTATGGATCCTCTGTCCTATAGGGCAGTGATGTCTGAAACATTCAACTCAACAGCAATGAATTAGTAATAATAGAATAGCAAGATGGAAAGCAGTAGATAATCTAACTTTGAAAAACATTTCACCACTTGGAAGTTTTGCTCCACTAGCTGGAATTTTTGCTCACAGCTGCCATTTCTAGCACTTTGAACAATGAATATTAAATAGATATTTGTTAAATAAACAACGCTTATAATTTACAATGTTAATCAGAACTGTTTCTATAGAGTTCTGATGTTCCAAGTTGGACCTGAGTAGATTTCTGTTAAACAGGCTAATCTGGTTACCTGGATCTGAAGGAAGATGGATGGATACAGCCCCTAACCACAGGCAAGGCACAGGAGTGGGACTGCACACCCGAACCTTCAAAATGCCACAGGACAGCATCTGTTTTCTATTACGATCTGCTTCATTTTGGAATGCTAAGAGCTCAGGTATCCACTCTATTCTTTCCCACAATCCCTTTCTTAAAAAATGACCCTTTACTTTCATCATATAGAATGTCCTTGATGTCATCACACAATTTGTCTGGTCTTTAGTCAATTGTGTTCAGCGAGTCAATCTACTTTTGAGAGGGTCTAAATTCAGGGCGTCATAATTTGGCTCTCATGGACTTGTTGTAATTTTCTACAACTTCAATTTGAGCTTGCTTATGTGCAATAACTGTGTCTTCCCCAGCTAGCTCCAGCCTTCTTTTGGCTAATGACACTGAGCTTCTCCAATATCAATTTCTACAAAAGTCGACTGCTGCCTGTGTATTGTATTGAGGGAGCTCCAAGGGTAGAGCCATCACTTATGTTGTTGATCAAAAGCAAAAAATAACCCTAGTACTAACATTAAAACACACATGCACACATACATACATGCATACGTGTGTATATACTATGAAATGAAAAATACCAGAAAAGAAAATTAAACCTAAAAGTCAAGAGATTTGGCATCCAGATTAATATTTTGTTTTGAAAGAACACAAACTAAGGCTAGGATGTATTAATTTACATCAAATTATATAGGAACAAGTTGACCTCAGTAAAGGGCATTTTAGAATTAAGTCATACCAGGACAACTGGAAACAGGGGTTCCCATATTAATGAGGCAAAGTGCACAGCGAGGAAGGGGTTTCCGACAGCCTGGACAACTTGTGACCTTAGATTTTGTTGGTGAGCCACTGACTCCATACTGACTGAAGCCTCGACCCTGATGAGGCACAGTTGAACAGCTGTAGGAGATAGACTTGCCACAGAAATTGCAGCTAACAAACACCTACAAAAAAAAAAAAAAGCAGTTAAATCGGACAGTGTAAGACATGAAAAAAATAATAATCTATAAATTATCAGGGGTTCGGGAGGGGAGAGAGGGGAAATAAATGAGGAGCTGATACCAAAGGCTCAAGTAGAAAGAAAATGTTTTGAGAATGATGATGGCAACAAACGTACAAATGTGCTTGACACAATGGATGTATGTATGGATTGTCATAAAAGTTGCCCAAGCCCCAATAAAATGATTTTTTAAAAAGAAGGCAAAAATAAACAGCACCCAAAAAATTTTAAATAAACTTTAGATTTTTAAATAATTTATTACATAGCATAAAAAATTTGTTACAGCTCTCGAATTTCTCCTCTTAGTAGTGACAGTATTTAAGTAGTTCCTTTCAGTTATAGTTGTTTAGTTATATTAATCCTAACATTGCTAACAGAATCAGGAAAAGCTGGGACCTTTGGATTCCAAAACTATACAGATAATAAAATTTTGAGAGTTTATACAGGCATATTATAAAATACCACTTCTGTCAGATAAGAATTGGACTGTTAATTGCATGCATGAAGTTCAAGCCTACTAGCTGCTCTGCAGGAGAGATGAGGCTTTCTTCTCTCATAAGTAATTACAGCCTCAGAAACACACAGGGGCCATTCTACCCTGCCTATTAGGTCACTCTAAGTCAAAATTGACCCTATGGCAGTGGGTGGGTGAGGGTGGTGGCATCCAAAACTCGGTGACAGAATTTTCTGAGCAAAAAATATTTTTGGCAAAGAAACCATTCTTTTCTTAAGATCAAAGAGGATTAGGAATTCTGTAATTAAAATTTTAAAATAATGGCAGTCAAACCTGTTTGTTTTGTTTTTAAAGGGAAATTCCTATCAGTCAGTTTATAAGATAGTCATTTATCAAATCAATTAGAACAATATATCATGTAAGGCTCTTTTATTAATATTAGTTTTCCTAAAATAAGAGGATAGCACCATCCAGTGCTCATACTGAGAATATACCCATGATGTACTGTCTTCCCTAAGATGCACAGTTCTCATGCCATGCGCCTGATGTGTATGTGTATGTGTTTTCAACTAATGCAGACACCAGTGCAAACTGAACCACGGCTCCATAAGGAAAAGATGAGGCTTTCTGCTCCCGTAACCATTTACAATCTTGAAAACTCAAAGGGGTAGTTCTACTCTGTCCTATCAGTGGGCTAAAGCTAATGTCAAAATAAAATAAAATTTTAAAATGCATGTGTAAGGGAAACCGATCACAATGATCAATGTACAACTCCCACCCCCATGCCCCCGGGGGACAAACAGCAGAAACATGGTTGAAGGGAGACAGTGGACAGTGTAAAGTATGAAAATAAAATACTTTATAAATTATCAAGGGTTCACAAGGTGGGAAAGAGGGTGTGGGAGGGAGGGAAAAAATGAGCTGATACCAAGGGCTCCAGTAGAAAAAAAATTTGGACATAATGATGGCAATGTATGTACAAGCATGCTTGATACAACTGATGTATGGATTGTTATAAGAGCTGTCAGAGTCCCAATAAAATGTTTTATTAAAATAATAAATTTTAAAAAAAATTTAAAAACTGCATGTAATTAGATGTAGGTACTTGCATATAATGTTAAACAACAAAATGCCTTTTTATTTATAAAGACATAGAATAATTTTATATGTGGGTACAAATGAGTAGTTTAGAAAGGAATATATTGGATATTGAAAAACCTCATGCCTAAGTGGGAACTTACTATAGACAGAAACCAAATAAAATCTCACTGCCATCAATTCTAACTCACAGTGACTGTTCAGGACAGAGCTGCCCAAAATGGTTTCCAAGGCTTTAATTTTTGTGGAAGCAGGTATGTTTAAACCTTCCAGACAGCAGATGAGCACTTAACTTACTAAGCAGAATAAACCATGGTGTCACCAAAAGAATGAGCTAATAACCACTTGTTAAAACTAAACTCTAAACGTATTCCCAACTGTCTGAGGACACACCATGCTTGCTAGCTTTCACAGTGCTTGTGCAGTCCCACAAGCAGTGCAAGAGGGTTCAGAGCTCTTTGTACCTTCTCCAGCATGTATTGCTTTCTTTTTTAATTTTGCTGGCACTGTCGGGCAAGGTGGTATTGCTCTGTTAGATTTTTATCTCTAGGATGGCTAGTGATGGTGAACGATTCCTCATATCTTTGTTGGCCACCTGCGTGTCTTTTCTTTGGTGAACTGTCTGTTCCTATCCTCTGCCTATTTAAAAAATGTCTTCTCTTTATACACACTTGGTTCTTTGGCTGGAATACTAATGACATATTACAATTAAGATTCTCTCCAAATGAATCTGCTTACCTGTGCTAGAGGCTTGGAACTGGGATCCAACTTACTCCGGTGAATATCGAATTCTGCTCTCTTGTGCCAAAACCTCCAAGCATCTAATAAATTTCTATAATTCTCGATCCAGTATTGAACTCTTTCATCTTTAAGAACATCTAAAGGAGAACCCTAAAAAGAAAACATGAGTTATTTCAATTGTCTTTGCTCAACATCACTGAACATGGAAGAAATAAGTCCTCTTTTTGCCAAAAGTGGGCTCCCAATGAATATATGTATGTAATTGTTTGAATTACTACTATTAATTTAAGTTGGTCTAATAATAATGTAATCTCTCTCTATATATATACCTGTAGATCTCCATCTCTATGTATAAACTAGACTGAACTGCCTTAAAACATTAATCACCACTCCTTAGAAAAGGTAAAAGAAACCCAGATTTCTATAACACACTGTCTACAACAGCCAATATTTAATGAAAACAAGTAAATGTGATTCAAAGTCAAGGGAAAAAGGGCAATCACCAGAATCTAAGTTAAGAGTTAGCAAATTCAGACTGTTCAAAGCATTTATCAGAAATATGCTCTAAGACTTACAAGAAAATGGGTTCAAAAACCTATATGAAAAAAGTATTTAAATTAGTAAATTCACAAGGAACTAAAAGTTGGGAAATGTAAAAAAAAAAAAGAAAGAAAAAATTCTAGAATTATGAGGAAGCTGCAAAGAGTTTATGGGCAAAGTGCATTAAAAGATAATGGAATTTCCCCAACAAACTTCTTAAAGTACCCCTGTAGCAAGCAATGGTGAAGAACATGAAAAATTCCCTTGAAAGCATAACAGCAGACAGAAGTAGAAGAGTCAATGAATAAATTAATAGAAAATATCTAATTTGTAGATTAAAAAAAAAGATTGAAGGAAAGAGCAGCGCCTCCGGGACTCATGGCACATCAGATGGTATAATCTTTGTGCAATAAAAATACAAGACAGAATGAGATTAGGTAGGGTAAGGTGAGCGTAAAATATGCTTATCGGACACATGGCATGCTATTATATCGTGTGAGAAGGAGATGGGCAGGAAAGAGGGAGATGATAGCAACAAGTAAATGTGGGGGGGGGAAGCGGGGGGGCAGGGGGGTAATCTCATTTGGAATCTCAGAGAAACACCCTGAATCTTCACCCTATTTTTAACACAGGTAATGTAGATGGTAATTTTTGAATTTTTGTCAGGAATCTATCTTTGACCACAGGACAAACTGAGAGAAAGTAGATTACCTGGTTACCCCAAATCATGCCTGTTGAATACGAAAAGGGGACTTAGGAGAGCTGTGGCCCAATTTGCCTTCTGTATGTGCAATGAGCCTACATGTAGTTTGGATCAGGGAAAAAGGGACCTCTTGTGCCAACACTGGAGAGAGGTTCTGTTCCATGCGCACTTCATATCTGTTCAGATACAGCTAAGGCTGACCCTCCTAGAATGAAAGGAGTAACTGTAGAATGTACTGCTGGCAACTGAGGGACAGTCAGATGAGACTACAGGACTTCGTAGACCAAGAAACCAGACTACAGTTAAATGCCTTCCGAATAGCCTTAGCAAGCAAAAGTATATACGTGCTATTTTTTCTAAGTTGTTGCCACACAGCACTAACCTGTAACATGCAGTAACTTGCTGTTTGGACATCTCCAGTTCTATCTACATAACTCTCCATTAAGTCCACTCCGTCTTTAGTAAGGCCTGTCAGCAGAATTCCTTCCAAATTTCCAGCCTCTTTCATTTCATTGGTTAATTTTTCGATGTATCTATTTAACTGGAAGATTCAAAGTGATTTCCTGAAGCCATCAGCTTAATTACACATATGTACTTTAAAGCCACTACATTTAGAAACATTTTATCCCTAATGAAAAACATATTAAAACAAAAGCACTTAGTGGAAATGAAATCCAGATGTCCACTATCTAAAAAGTCTAGCTCTATTACCAATTAAAACACAGCATCTATGATCATTAAAAATATTTTTAAAAGGTAAGGCATTTATCATATTTTGATAGCTATTCTATAAAAGATTTAGAAATTTAAGGAAAATTATTCCCTTCATTCTACAAAGTTCTTTGCTATCTATTATACCAGAATGTAAAATCTGAGCAAAAAAATCTGAGATGGAAGGGAACTTTGAAATTATCAAGAATGACTAGCTCCCTGATTTGATCCTCCCCTAAACTCTACTCAAGATTTCTTTATATTCTCCTAGCATTTCGTCATTAACAGAGGACTCAGCATATTCACTACTAGTTGGTTATGTGCATTTTTTCCAGAGGGTCACTATGAGTCAGAATCAGCTTGAGGGCAGTGAATTCGGCTTTTGGGGTATATGTATTAAATGCTTTTGCATCGCTAGCAATTAGCCTTCACTGTAAATGGTTAGCACAGACATTCAGTAACTGTGAGAATGAAGGAATGATTTTATAGCATTACTAAAAGGCTATTTTAATATCTCTATATGCTGACCAATCTCACCCCAAAAAGCAGATAGAAACTAAAATAAGCACTCTACATGATTTTGTTATTAAAGACATGTTCACAGTACCTGATTAAATCAAGAAATGATTACTTTATTTCCCTGGATGGTGCAAACTACCAACTAAAATGGTATAAACTCAATTCCATCCAGGGGTACAATAGAAGAAAGGCCTTATGTTCCACTTGCGAAAACCCAATGGAGTATAATTCTACTCTGACGTATGTGGGGTCACCTTGAGTTAGAATCGGCTCAATGGCAATGTGCGTTTTATAAGAATGTACACATAAATCTCACACACATGTGCCTTTAAAGAATAGTGTCCTAATGTAATTGAACAACAACCCAAAAAAGCCAAAAAAAACTAAACCCTGCTGCTGTGGTGTCAATCCTGACTCACAGCGACCCTGCAGGAGAAAGCACAACTGTGCCATCGTTTCTAAAGCTGTAGATCTGGAGACAGACTGCCACATTTTCCCCACAGACCAGGTGAAAAGTTTGAAACGCCAACCTTTGACTTGCAGCTATGTACTTTAATCACTACATAAGTGGGGCACTCAATTCAGTGGTTGTAATCATGTTACACATAGAATTAAATAATTTCTCACCTGAGTATCATTAAGAAATTTACAAGCAAATGCCACTCTGTCACGTACTGCAACTTTGTTTTCATACTAGAAAGAGAAAAAGCAAGAAGTCTCTTACAGGTGCTGTAACATCCATAGCTTTACAAAGAGTATTTTTTATACATAACATGTAAGCTAATTTTAGATACATAAAGTTATTGTGTACAATACCTGGTACACAGTACTAGTGGCCTAAGATATTTTCCTCAGTAGAGCTCTCAGGAATCTCAGTGCTAAAGTGCTTGACCAGGTAAATTTAGTGAAGAATTGCTGCGATTAGGTACCGAATCAGCATGTGCAACCAAAATTTACAAGCAAATGTTGGCAATATTTTCGGTGCTGGCAATATTCTCTGCCAGCACTAATGTTCAAATATGTGGACTCTTCTTTGGTCTTTCTTTTGCATCATCCAGTTTTTGCATACATAATAGGCAAATGAAAACCTTAGTCTCAAAGTGAACTCTTTATTTTGTAACTTTAAAAAAGTTCTTGCAGATTTTCCCAATATAATTCATCATTTGATATCTCAATGGTTGTTTCCAAAAGTGCTGATTGTAGATCCAAGTAAAATTAAATCCTTCACAACTTCAATTTTTTCTTTGTTTACTGTGATGTTGCTTATCGGTCAGTTGTGAGAATTTTTGTTTTAGGTTGGGGTGTAATGCATACTTAAATCTTTGATCATCATCAGACAGTGCTTCCAACTTTTATCAAGTTTGACTGAGTCCTCTACATATTGCAGGTTATTAATGAGTTCCTCCAATCCTGGTTTTATGTTCTTCTTCATAGAGCACAGCCTCTCAGATTACTTGCTCAGCATACAAATTTTTACTTTTATTTTTTTAATTAAGAAAAAATTTTTTTTACAAATTAAGTATGGTGAGAGGATATAATTCTAATGCACACCTTTTCTGATTTTAAAACCTACAGTATTTTCTGTTTTGTTCACACAACTGCCTCTTGACCCATGTATAGGTTCCACATGAGCACAATAAAATGGAATATCCATTCTTCTCAAGGTTATCCATAGTTGGTTATGATCTACATTATCAACAAAAAAAACCGGTAAACATCTTTCTGGGATTGTGTTATGCAGGGTTCTCTAGAGAAATAAAACCAGGACACATGAATATATATGTGTGTGTGTGTGTGTGTGTGTGTATAGATACACACACACACACACACACACATACTATAAGTCCTTCAACTCTCCAACACACGTGGGCTGCCGGGTCCAAGGTCAAGGAAGCAGACAGTGGAGTCCTCCCTCGAACAAGGTAGAGTCTGCCCACAGGCAGCAAGTAGAAGGGTGGGTCAGCAACAGTAAGTAGCTAGGGAACTTAGCGAAGCAGGTCCAGATGGGATATTGAACTCAAGCAATGCAAGGTGATGCAACAGCAGCTTGGCAAAGCAGGTCTCGAAGGAGCTTCAAGCGCTAGCAACATGATCCACGGGTTGGTTGTCCCACAGGTAGTGTAGCTCACAGGTTGAGGCAGAGAACTAGCTAAAGCAGCTGCATGCTGGTCTGATCACCAGAGAGCAAGAGAGATGGGGGTGGCCCTTGCAGAGCCATTTATTTATTTGCCATCCAGTCAAACTGCAACCTGCTTAATCCCACATCTTTCTATTGGCCAGGTTGGCACAATAAACCTGTCACAGGTATTCTCGCTTTCAGTCTAGATTCATCTGACGTCAGCAACGATATTCTTGGTCCTATGCCCTCTGCAGAATGCAACCTGAATCTCTGGCAGCTCCCTGTCAATGTAATGCTGCAACCATTTTTCGATGATCATCAGCAAAATATTTCTTGCATATTTCAATGATATTGTTCTATAAGGTGAGCTTTCTTGGGTCTCTTTTCTTTGTAATGGGTACAAATTGGATCTCTTCCAGTCAGTTGGCCAGGTTTCTATATTCCAAATTTCTTGGCATAGACAAGAGTGCTTCCATTGCTTCACTGGTTTGTTGAAATATTTCTATTGGCAACCCCATCACTTCTTGAAGCCATGTGTGGCAGTTATATAATCTCCCATCAACTTGAGCGAAGGGGAGGACGCTAGCTTGTCAATCAGGTTACAGCTTTAGAAGCACAACAGAGATAAATAGCTCACTGGAAACCAGACTCACTCTCTCTGCCTTCCCATTCCTGTGGTTGAAACACTCAAAGAGAGCTGGAGGACATGTGGAGACCTGTACTAGAGTTGAGATGCTTCCACTGTCACTGGCTCCACAAGACCTTCTACCTACTGGCCTGTGAACTTCCTGCATTTGGCATCATTGCATGTGCTGGGTGAGTCTAAACAGGAATTTATCAACTAGTATCAGACATATGGGTTAATATAGGGCTTATGGACTTGAGCTGGACTGGGCTGGTATGTGTTCTCAATATAAAATTGCTCTTTTTTAAAAAGCTCTTCCTTGTACACGAGTGTCTATGAATTTGTTTCTTAGTCAACCCGGAGTAACACACCATGTATTCCAAATGATCCTTGTTGAATTCCAAAAAACAGTCACTAAAATCTTCTGAACTGACTCTCTGCCTTAAATTTTTTCAGCCCAACAGATCCCTTCAGAAGCCACTCTTGATTGGACCTTGCTTTCTGTATCATATTGGTAAATCAAAGATTTGTCTCTGGTTACAATTCATTCCATAAAATAATTTTCATTGGCTTTCATATCACTTAAAAGACTGATGGAAAGATTAGGTCTTTGAGCGAGTTGATCTTTTACACATTGCTTTCGGCACCCATCAAGCTGAAAGCTTGCCAAGGCCAAGATGTTCCCCTAAAATTGGAAATGAGGAATCCTGTGAGATTCCAAATTCAGTAGCCATCACGTCAATGGTACCACTATCATCTATTTAGACAGTTTCTGGACTTAGAGGCTCAGTCTCTTCATTTATCGAGCCTGACAGTTTTCCCTCGATTCATCTTTGAGGTCTTCCCAACCTTCCGTATAAAACTTGATCCATCTAAAAAGTGCTGTTTTATGTGGGACAGCAGGCCTCAAAAACCTTCAATGACTTGGGAAGATGTGCACTTGAGTGCTGTTAAAAATTTGGTATTATCCATGGCTTCAAATTACTTTTTCCCCCAAGGCACAATAAAGCATCCTTATTTTGAAGGCATGATGATAACGTCAGTATAGTACTCAGAGGATTTGTCTGCAGCTGTGCACGGAGCACAGAGACATGGTAACACACTTTATTTGGAATGAGCTCTGGCATATATGTATGAACTGGAATCCTAGTCACAATATTGTTTTTTACTTACTCTCATAGAATGCATCCATAGAAACTTTATGCAACAGAGATTTTTTTAATTTTGTAAAATTAGACAAAAATGCCTGTCCTAATTTTAAAAAGGGTCTTGTAAAACAAAACCTAGCTTACCAAAACTCCATCATATGATCCTGTTTCACTTGTCAGAAAAGCAAACATAACACACAGATACGGATTGTTCAGCTGTAATCGCAGAGTGCTGCACATTTCTCTCCACAGGGAGTTCTTCTCATCCGTATAACCTGATAATGCCATGGCTACCACATTGAGATTGAGATCTCCTGCATATTAGTAACAGTTAATCAGAATGATCAAATACTTAAATCCACTTGTCCACATTTCTTAAATCATAAACAAGTAATGATCAGGGAGTGATTTTCACTCCCAGAGAAATTACCCACTAGGATAAGAGTTTTGATTCAGACTGGGAAATTTGGTAAGGTCCAACAAAAATACGCCCAGTCTCACAAAATTCATGCCCATACTTGTAAATCTTATGCAGAATGAGTTCATCTGTTAACTTTCAAGGACTCAGTCCAATTAGGTCCCTATACTCTATGATACCTGCTTAATATATAAAGGAAGAAACATGAAGCCACCTTACCAGAATAACTATCAATTTTATCAATAAATGCAATTACCCTAAAATAGTAAATTTAGTTGCATCTTAGGATTTCAATTTACAAAATAATTGTTTCCCTATTCTTAAATGTGTAAGGCACATAACTTATGTGTCAACCACAAAGTGCAGAAAGCCATATTTTAACATTTATATTCTAGTTTTAATTTTCAAACCCAAACTTATGAGAATTATCACTGAATAACATTTAAACACATTTGCAAGAGTATTTGTTACCAATCATCTTTTAAACATTTGTTCTTCTTTGTAGTTTATATAGTTGCTGATTAACCACTAACCAACTTTCCATGGCTCCCCAAACTCCAAAGATTAAGTTTAGCCTCAAAAGAGAAAATTAAATTTACTTTGAACCTTTACTCCTAAGTATTTTTATATTTACATAGAAGCTTTTATTTTTTGCTAAAATATAGTACTTTTTAGAATTCAACTTTCCATTCCGTAGTCCTAATCATTTTTTTTCTCTTGGAAATAAAACTGCCTTGCTAACTTTGTCCTTGACAGCATTGCTCTTCATTTCTGTACACATTTCCACTCACTTATTTGACATGTTTCTTTTGCCTACTCTAAATTAGATGTAAAGTCTTTGAAATAATTTTAACAAAATTACTTCCAACTAAAAATAAACTTTGACTCAAAAATGTATCTTCTTTTTGAATATATAAAAATGTCTTTTCAGTCATTAGCCAAGTTATTAAAATGACTGGAACACTACTTTTTCCCTATTACTAGCATGGGTCTTTAAATCTGTTAAGTTTCTTCCAGATACATCTGACACAAAAGTATTAATAAAGGATTCTGAAGACACATGATTTGCTGGGTATATTAAAAATAGGTATCTATATTTAGTATTTTTAAATGAAATATTTCTGACAAGAAGTAAAAAACAAACAAAAAACCACACACACACAAACAAAGCAAACAAAAAACCCCTGAAATTTTTAAACAAATATTTGTTTCTGAATACTTGTGGCAAAATGTTAGAATAAAGCCATAATTGCTTTTCATTGTTTCTCTTTATAAAAAATAAATGGAATACCTTTTCATTATAAATTGCGCTAATTGGGTATTCACATTAAAGGTAGCATAGTGGGTTGTGCAGCAAGCTATTAACTAGGTCAGCAGTTCTAAACTGCCAGCAGCTCTCCAGGAGAAAGATGAGGCTGTCTGCTTTGGTAGAGATTTAAAGTCTCAGCAATCCATAGGGACAGTTCTTCTCTGGCCTGTAGGGTCACTATTATTTGGAGTTGACTTGATGGTGGTGTATATAACTGAATATTTATAATAATTTTGTTATTCTTTATGTGTAATATCATTTTTATAGATCTATTTTAATACATACAATTTTCTCTAATTATATTAAAGGCGTATTCATAGACAGAATCTTGTCTTGTTAATTGGGATAAAACTTAATTTGTATTGGAAAAAGAATTTTAACCAGGCTTAAGTAGAAGCATTTTTCATATAAAAATATGCTTAAAAATTATATTAGTCTGTCAATCCGCTTATTCATGATTAACAAATGATTCAAAAGAGAAAGTACAACTGTCTAAATCAGTGGTTCTCAACAACCTTCCTAATGCCGCAGATCCTTTAATATAGTTCCTCATGTTGTGGTGACCCCCCCCACCACCATGAAATTATTTTCGTTGCTACTTCAAAACTGTAATTTTGCTAGTTATTAATCGGGCAACCCCTGTGAAAGGGGTTGCGACCCACAGGTTGAGAACCGCTGGTCTAAATTATTCTCAATGTTTTACCAGAAAAATATTTGTAAACTAACATAGCTTTGTTATCCAAAGAAATACATCTTTGGATGTATTTGGAGTGAGCTATATTTAAAATAATTTGAAATCAAACCAGCTAAGCACTGCTGAGAATGTTACGAAAATAACATTTAAGAGATATATATTCTTTTTGCAAGCCTAAACTGAAATATAAACAAAAGGGATGGGTCAGTATTTACTTTTGATTTGTACTGTGGAATTTATCTTTTAACAAAGATCCAGAATAAAACATTTGATGAGAGTTTGAAAATATCAACACACTTTCTTTAAATGATTCAATAAACTACCAATACCTTAGAATATAACCTGGTACCTTTTTCTGAAGACGCCCCTTCATTCAAAATTTGAATTGCTCGTCGAATATCTAAGTTGAACAATGCCACGGCAGCAGCTCTCTCCCACTCCCCTTCCTGGACCAGGGAGTTCAAGAATGGTCCCACATCAACATCTGTTCCTTTCTTTATCCACCCGCACAGCTGTAAAACTAAGATCCTCTCTTCACTTAAATTCTGAATATCAGTTTGCTTATCTAATCCACTCCAGTTATGTCTGCTGCTTTCCACCATTCCTAAAAAGGAAAAACATTCTTACATTAATTGCTTTATTGTTATTTTGAAATATATTTAGGAAGTAAGTCCATTTTACTGAGAAATATTAAACAATTTTGAATATTAAACACATGTCACTCTTTTCTTCCTCATCTCCTTTAAATTTTGTCCTACTCTCTAATTTGTCCATACAAGGCGGTACCTCCCCCCAAAAAATGGAATTATTTTTCAAAGCTATGTATTTAATTTTTTTACACAACAACCTATCATCTTCAAAGTACTCTCCATTACACTTAATACATTTAACAAAGCTACAACTCCATTCTTGGAAACATTTTTCAAATTCAAATTCATCTGTTTGGATGACTAACAGCATCTCCCTCATTTTTTTTTCTTCACCTCTTGTAAGTCATCAGATCACTGTCATTTTGTGTCCCTCTTCGTTCACGGATACAAAAAGAAGTCACACAAGCGAGGTCAGCTGAGTTAGGTGTGTGGGGCAAGAGAGGCATGCTATTTTTTCCCCCAAAGCTGGCACACTGAGATGGCTGTGTTAGCAGGTGCATTGTCGTTGGTGGCAAAACCAGTCCCCTATCTTCCACAAACCAGACTTTTGTGGCATATTGTTACTCAATCTTTCAGAACCTCTCAATCGAAAGCTTGATTAACAGTCTGACCTGGTGTTACAAACTCCAAATGCACTATGCCCCTCATATAAAAAAAAAATCAGCATTTTGGGGGTACCCTCTTGTATTTCTCCAGCCCCATTGTCACCACCTTGGAAAGAATATAATCTTTTTTGCCTACTATGGGCTCCTACCTGATAGTCCTCCAAGTCATTCCACAGAATGACAGTTCTAAAATGCAAATCTAAAGCTTAACACCCTTTAAAATCCTTTCTTGGTTCCCTCTTATTACAGGATGCTGATGATAACCCAAACCAAAGCCAGCCCACTGCCATCAAATCGATTCTGACTTCCAGTGACCTAACTTTAGGTTTCTGAAGAATTATATCTTTATAGGAACAGGTAACCTCTTCTTTATCCCAAGGAGGAGGCAGTGGATGTGAAGCACTGACCCTGTTAGTAGTCACACTTATCTGACAGTTCTACTAGGGCTCCTTGAGGATACTGAATCTCCCTAAACCTTTAACATGATTTCTAATTCCTTCTTGACTTGGTCCAATGCTTTAGCTTTCTAGTCCCATTCCTTCCTCACTTGGCCCCAGACTTTCAGCCAATTCATCCTAGGTGTGCTGTGCTCTCTCTGTCGTAGGAACATTAGCTGTGCTGCTCCCTCCATGAACTTATCATCTCTATCTAGCCCCAGGGAATTCTCTAATTATTAAATACCAAATAAAGAATCTTTCCTACAAACAACTGTATGCTCTTTCTTATATTACAACTCTATGCTTACTTGTCCATGTTTTGAACTAGAAACTAAACTACCCAGGATTAAGAATATCTAGGTTGTTTAACCTCTATGAGGGAAGAGACATGTCTCCTTTAGTTTATTTCTAAAGTAGTTGATTACAGCCTACATTAATTCATACTATCAAAGATTATTTCAGGCACAGCTTCTTCAGAGAAGGCTAGTCTGTTTTCATGTCATTACTTTTTGTCATTACATGACTAAATGAAAGTGCTCAAGTAACAAAAGGGTCTCCTTCGATTAGAGATTGTTTAGTTTCTGAAAAACAAAATGCCATGACAATATGAAAACTATTATGATCAATCCAAACAAAACTCATTGCCATCAAATCAATTCAGACTCATAGTAATACTACAGGACAGAGAAGTGTTCCTTGGGTTTCTGAGATTGTAAGTCTTTATGGGCGCATAAAGGCTTATCTTTTTTTCCTCAGAGTGGCTGGTGGCTTTGAACTGCAAACCTTGTGTTTAGCATGTCAACACGTAACCACACCACCACCAAGGTCTTACCAAGCTATATAAATCATCTAACCCAATATCTCTCAAAACAAATCTTCAAAAAATAACACAATAAATTTGAAAAGACACAGAGCCAAAACTCCTTCCCAAAAGGATTTTGAATATAATTATTCATCTAACCAAACAAGCAAATCACTAAACATGGAATCAGAAAACAAAACAAACCAACCCCACAAAAAGAGTATTTATGTACATTATCCTGAAATATCTAAGTAACTTCTGCTAAATGAGTGGGGACAAAAATAACAGCATAACAAGTATAAATAGAGTGCAGAAAATAACACTGGATTTTCTTACCCAATGAGGATTTCACAATGGATTTAATTCCAGCATAAACCATCGCTCCTTTGTTGCCTGGAGATTTCTGATCCATATCTTCTGTATACTGCTTCATAAGTATTTAAATGCATAGGAAATACTAGTGACTATGTATAATAAAAACATTTCAAAGCTAAATTTGTTTTGATTTAGAGCCAATTCATAATAGGCACCAGTGCAAGTAAGTTGGTTCTACACTAACATAGCTTTTCTTCCTCCTACACAATCTGCAAAGCAGTATTTCAAGTCCAGGAGTTTTAAGCAATTTTACTTTGAAATTTTAGTACTATGCACTTGCAAGTAAAACATTTTGCATGATACTTGCAGCAAACTTTAAAAACATGTCTACCCAATGCATGTGCCAACATTCCCCGTGTAAAGGATATAGTGGAGAGTGTACCAGAGTGACTTGAGCTGTGCATCTTCATTTCCAGCCAAAATGTGGTTTCTCCACACCTGTTCCGTATCAAGTCCATACCTTGATAAAGCCCGAAGCCGCATCTTTGTGGCTATATCTTTTTCTAAAGAACTGTCATCTTCTTCTTCTGCACATTCATACAAATGGCGACCACAAGCCCACATTAAAGATGTAATTGGGCTCCAGGCAAGAGAAATCCTTTCAAAAACAGTGAAGTCAGACATGGTTCGGTTGGGAGTTACCACTATCATCCGATTTTGACTTGTTGGGTGCCAGGCAAAGGAAGCAATGTAATTATCGCAAGGCTGCACACTCCTTTCAATTATGGTGGGTTCAGTTTCATCCCCAATAGGAGTGGGGGTGTGCTGCATATCATACAATCTAATTATATTACTATCCCTTGTTAAAGTGGCCAGCAGACCAGTCCTTGTTGGACACCATGCTACTTTTGTCAATGGCTTTGGCTGCTCAGTCAAAGTCAAAACTGGCTTCTCAAATTTTCTAAGATCCCATATTGCAACTTGACCTTCATAGAAGGACGCAACACGGTCATGGAAGTATGGGTCTACTGTCACCCCTTGAACAGCTTTTGTATTCACAAACATCTTTTGGCTTGTATTCCGCAGATCGAATATGGCTAGGTTACGATGCATGCCAGCCAGCAGCAGTTTCTGGTCTCGTGGAAGCCAACAGAGAGAGAGACAAGCATCATTCTGCCCTAGTTCATAGAGCGGTTTCGTTACTAACAACGTGGTTTCCGTTTCTCCTGCTGACAGCCTCACTTTCTCCATGGGAACTATATCTGGGCTATATTTACTACAGATATCCCATATTAGCACTGAAAAATCAGCTCTGTGCTTATCTAGACCAGCGGCAAGCCAGTTACTATCCAGTGGATTCCAAGCAAGAGTATTACATTGCCGGGCATGTTTTGGAACAAATTCCTTTCCTATTAAATCTTTGAACTTTGAGTTATGATCTTGACCAAGACTTGTAAGAACAACGCGACCATTTGCTTGTCCAACTGCCAGAAGACATTCAGGATCATAATTGAGATACCAGGCAACACATTTCATATAGGGAGTATCTGAATTTATCGACAGTAAGGTAGCTGCAGAGTCTTCAGATAAACGTAATGATCCAGCTTTGAGTTCTGAATTCACATTAGATTCCACATGATACAGGCTCAGTTCGGAGTCACATACAACGAATCTATCAACCTGATGGGGCGCCCACAGAATATCAGGTTTGGTGCCACTCATGTTTATTCATTTGTTCAAAGAGTCCAGGCAGGTCCATTCATTGAAAGTCTGCGTATGAATAAAAGGAGTTTTAAGATACTGACAAAATACAATTCTTAAACTATTCAAGAAGCCATGCAATTCTACACAGATACTCTGTTTCTCATACAGTTCTCTTCTCTCCATGGGCTTTGTATTAAAAAAAGAGAGGGGAAAAAAAGACAAACACTTCCACTTCAAGCAGATGAACTGGTAGGGATCTGAGAACTCCATCTGGCTTCATTTCCCATGATCAATTATCTTAATTGCATGGTTACTAGTACCTTCATTTCAACATTAGGGAAAAAATAACTTCCATGTGGTAAGCAAATTAATAAGCAGTATCCCTTTGAAGGAGAGAAAACTTTAAAGGGCTATGAATCATGTTCCTAAGCAATAGTTTAGGGTAGTACTGGCCATAGAACTGTCTACAGTAGTAGAAATGTTCTATATCTGTGATGTACATATGCTAGCCACTAGCCGTATGAGGCTAGTGAGCACTCTATATGTGGGTCGTGCACCTTTTAAATTTAAATTTTAATATCACAAACAGCCAGGATAATTAACAGTGCAGATTTGAAGTACAATGTATCACAAACGACCATGATAATTAACAGTGCAGATTTGAAGTACAATGTCACCAGTAAAACATAGGCGTCTCCTAGTCAATAATATAAAGCAGGCCTACACAGCAGAATAAATATTGGGGTGCATTGAACATAGCTGAGTTCTATTACCTGTCTGAGATACATTGGCCAGCTGACCTTGGAAAGATCACTATATGACTGGGAGGGCTCCTTTCTTCTCACACCTATTTTCATCTATTCAGAGTAAGGAAGAATCGATCCATGTTTGTAACTCCTCAGTCATCAGCATACCAATTTGTTATATCCATATACGTACCACATGTTGTGTTATTTTATCATTTTTCTTTAAATTAAATCATTTTAAAAATCTTATTTAATCTCATCGTAAAGCCTTTAAATCATGGGTATGGTGTTAATTATTTATTTATAACATGAAAAGAAATAGATAACTATTAAAAATGGTTGGTTGTATTTTACCTAAACACTCTATTTATGACTGATAGTCACATTAATTTGGGAAATTAAGTGACATGATCAGTCGTTTTCAATTCCATTAACTCTGTATAAATGTCAAAACTGGGTGTCTGAAAAGAGAAACAGTCCAGCAGATTAAGCAAAAAACAAATAATGATAGCTAAAAGCAATCATTATTTTAATAGCACAAGCCAACTACAACTACAATCTATTTCAAACAGACTGGTTAGAGGCTATAGTTTGGGTTTGAGGTGAACTGAGGGCCTTCCAATCTTCATATGGCTGTCAGTTCTCAGGGGCAAAGTTCTCAGTTCTCAGGGGCAAAGAAAACTATGTCAGTACCAGATATAGATCCTGGCACAGAGCTCTAACAAAGACATATAAAATAAAGTCAACTAAAACATGGCTTTCCTTATTGATCCTGCAAAAGTTTCAGTCAGGAATTACCAGTCTATAATTATACAGACGCATACAATTTAGGTGATTCGGAAAACCCTCTAGGGAGTCTTATAGTGACTTTTCATACTTCCCTAACAGTCCTGGAGCCCAGGGTGAATAACTTTAATTATTTTCTCATCAATTTCTTCAATATCATCATTTCTTCCTTCTTTGCCCTTCCTATTTCCCAACCCTACATCAACCCAATTATGTACACCTTCACTTCTCCACCAAGGCTAACTGCTACTATGTGAGGATGGTCTTGTGACTCTGTAAACACGTCACAGGGCCAGGACCAGCAATATAATTGACGGGGTCCAGAGCAAAATCAAAATGCTGGTTCTTTCTTCAAAGATTCATAATTTCAAGACAGTGACCGACCAAACCAAAACCAAAATCTCACTACAACTGAGTCAATAGAAAAATCTTAGCTAACCTCATCTTTCTCCCTCAGAGTGGTTAGTGGGCTTGAACCACTGACCTTATAGTTAGTAACCTAAAGCTTCCCAACAGCGCAACTGTGGTCCTTTGATGGTGATAGCGGAGTATAAAACAGGAAAGTATTTGTTCATGATCCCAAACCCAATAGAGATGGATCCTCATTCATGAACACGGATCTTGAGGATTCTGGTTTACAAGAAAGAAAACTAAACCTGTAGTGAGAAGACCTTGTGCTGCTCATTAGCTAAAAAACAAAACAAAACAAACATAACGAAACTACTGCCATCGAGTCAATTCTGACTCATGGTGACGCTATAGGACCCGGTAGACCTGCCTGTGTGGGTATGCAAGACTGCAAATCTTACCATGAATAGAAAGCCTAATTTTTCTATGTAGCAGCTGGTGGTTTCGAACTACTAACCTTGTGGTTGGCAACCTAGCATGCAACACACCCTGCCACCAGGGTTCTAGACACTAACCAGCCCCTCACACAAATATTAGTTTCACTACCATTCCCTAAAGTTTTCAAATGTTAAAGGCATTGGTAAATTGTGGGAGGAGAAGGGCAAATTTGCAATACTTAGGGCTTGTATTTATTTCAACTTCAAGGTTAACAAACATTCCTTCCTGTCAATGTTTTCTGAGCAAGGAGTCGTGTTGATTTGTGTTCAGCACAGTAGACTTAGAACAACACTGGTCAACAGAAACTTAGTGTCAGTCATATAAGTAAACATTTTCTAGTAGCCATACTAAGGCTTCCTGGTGGCCCTGCAGATTAGGTGTTGGATCTGCTCACTGTAAAGTTGGGGGTTCAAACCCACTAGCTGCCCTGGGGGAATGACAGGAAAACCCATTGTGAGACAGAATCCACTCAAGAGCAGTAGAGCTTGGTGGTAAGCCACATTTAAAAAGTAAACAGAAATCGATGAACTTAATTTGATAGGTTTAACATAATATATTAGACACATATATTACTTCAACATGCAGTCAATGTAAAAATCATTGGGAATTTTAACACTTTTTTGTGCGTAGTGAGTTTGGAATCCTGTGTGACACTTCAATGCAGACATCCCCATCTCAGGTGCTCAGCAGCCCATGTGCTAACGCTTTTACAGTGAAGATCTCAAAAACAGGGTATACAAAGTATCCAATCACACTTTCACACCCTTTTTTGGGTAGCTGTGGTCTTCTACTTTTCTTACTACGGCAAATTACAAGTTTTAAGAAGTTTTAAGAAATTCCCACCATCACCATCTTCCAGTAGATAAACTATCAATATTTCCCTTAAAACGGTCATATAAAAGGCCCGCAAAATGCATAGGTTTTGCAAAGCAAGCCATTCAGCAATGCTCACAGCATGCCATTCAGCAATGCTCACAGCATACACGACCAGCGGTACGCGCGTTTAGCCTCCCCAAGAATTTCACACGAGACCCTGATGTGCAGAGGACAGAGCCAAACGTCCGCGAGATGCGCCCTTGAAGAGGTCCCGAACCCGTCACAACCACAAGGCTGGGTGCTATTCCGGGAAG